TCACCAGCCACAAGCCACACCTGCCAGCTGGGATGCAACCTACCACAGACTCTGGGTTTTCCCCGCAGGCCTCTGCCGCAATAAGATCTGTGTTCTACACGCACCTGGGACCGGCACAGAAAATCTTTCAGGAAACGTCTGCTTCTTACACGCCTCAATTACATTAGATTCTCTCTAAACTAACATCAACAGGTCAGCTCTTGAAACAGGATGATGGAAAGGGTGCACCAAATCCAATCAATGTTCATTTGCAAAATCTCTTTGGGCTAATAACGGCTTAATGCCATCTCAATCAAGACGATTTTTCAAAATGTTTACAGTTTTCTAATCGCCAAAGAGCAAGCATTTACTGCAGACACACTTGTCTTGGCTTGACAGCAAACATCAAATACGCATTACAGAGGCATATATATTGAAGACTAAGCAGCATTGTCAATGACAAACTAAAATGTGGCTTTAAACTCGAGAGGCTGGGATGGTCTCATAAACAGCCTGTTCCACACTTTATCAGCTGAAGCATCTGAAAACACTGGATTTCTTTGAAAACGGTGGTCGACACAGGGTCCTTTGTACTTCCAGCAGCTAGAAGACAGGAAAAGGGACGCAAAAAAGCTGTGGAAACAGTAGAGCGTTTTCATTTGAACACTTCCTGTCAAAGTTTCAGTGAATGACAGATTCTACTCTGCCTCACGGATGAGGCAAAATCTGATTTCATGAAGAGCCCCCAAAGACATCGATCAAATTCTCCCAGCATTTTGGGCCCTGAGTGTGAAAATAACAAGTTTTGAGATGGCCATCTTGCGTTTCTGTCATTACTCCAGGGGGTAGGCATAAAAATGTATAAAAACGAAGGAAGAGAGACACCTGAGCAGGCTAGACGAGTCATATGACACAGCTCAACTCCCTCCAGAGCTCTGCTTTAAACTCATTAGAAGGATATGGGTGGCAAAGGCCCACTGCTTGCAGGCATATCAAATAGCGCTGCTGCACAGTCATTATGAAGGTTTGCCCTATTATGAGCTAGAAAATGCAGTGCAATGACATTGTAATTAATGTGAGTTTTTTTTCTTCATGCAGATGGGGTATATTACTCTGGAAGAGGAATTTCACCTTACGTACAGGGCTCTGACTTCCTGTATAATAATAATTACACCTAGGAAGACGTGCCATAAAGCAGTTCTGTCCGTTTCTCCATATATTTTCTTCTACGGTGAACAAGGATATATTGACAGTAATGAGACAGTAAATTGGTACAGTCCTGTTAGTCATGCACACAGGTCATTTTCTCTGAACACGTCACGCACTGCGTAAGAGACTTGTAATAAAGCGGTTCGGCGGATGAAATATAAGTACGCTGAAGTACATGCTGATGTTAAATCCATTTTAACTTACCAGTCAGCTCGGAAAACAGAGCGAGACAACGGCTTTTACAGTAATTGGAGTCTGCAGAGAATCCATTATGGCTCTGAGACGGGGAACAGTGGCTGGGGTCCTGCCCACATGTCCCTTATAACACACCAGCCATCTTCTGCTTCCTAGATTTCAACTGTTCAGACCACTAATTGAGAGTTTTGAGGCTTGAGTGCCTTCTATGTGTTACTGTCTCTCGTATTATTCATTTTTCTTTGCACAACTGAATGCTCGATCACTGTAGTAATTGAGGGATTTTGTTCTTACTTTTAATAAGTTCCAACAAGGAAGCCTGACCTAGATCCTTGCCAAGAGGTTCTTGTCTAAAGCCCCGTTTCCACCGCAGGAACTTTCCCCAGGAACTAGGGACTTTGGGCCGGTACTCTGTGTGTTTCCACTGCAGGAACCAGGATCTACATAAAGTTCTGGGTAAAAATTTGCCCCTCAGAAAGTCCCTGCCCGCGAGGTAGTACTTTTTCAAAGGTCCGGAACTTTCGGGGGCGGGACTTAGGCGCTGAACATTCTGATTGGTTGAGTTCACGCAGCATTGTATTTCAACCACCATATATT